AGAGTCTCTCTTCTTATCCCCGAGCATTTCGGTCCCTTGTGATCCGACTTCTCTTTCTGTAGTTTTAGTATAGTAAAGTGAGCGCTGAAGCACTGCACGAATCTTTCTTAGAAAGATTCAGTGACGAAGTTCTGCCCCTGCAGATCCCGACTCCTAGTTAAAACCCCCATGTAAGTAAGTTATGCTTACCCTATTTTAATATAGCTTATATTTAAAATTAGTATTGTTATTATGAACTTATAATAAATATTTGAGCTATTATTATATAAGTGTTGTTATAATATCTTTTTTAACTACTCGCGGTATGGAGAATCTGGTTTAAAGGGCCGCATAGGGTTGTTGGATTTCAGAAGTGCTATATGCCAAAATGGTCCTGCCCTCCGGTGTTTTATGTCTACCCGTATCTGTACATAGTGGTTAGAAAGTATTGTTTAAGCGCTTATATAATAATAACAAGACTAATAATTAGTCACGGTAAATATTAGACTAAAATCTAGTAGTAATAATACTAGGTTTCGTCGAAGGAAATTATTTTAAAGTAAACGAAGCGCTACCCAGTCACCACCTTATCAAGTGAGTGTATAGTCCCTTTCATGAACATGATTTTAATACAAGTATTGATTGAAGTATTAATTATATGTTTATGTGCGAGTTAATTGATGTTGCTTGAAATACGTGTTAAAGAGCATACCTGATTATATATGATGATTTAGGATAAAGAGTAAACCTAAATTAATTATGAGGAATATTGGGTAGTATTTTCTTATGGGTACAAGTGAGTTATACTCAGAGAATAGAGCTTTAGTATATGTCATTGATCCAGGAGCATGGATTAGACATAGTCATTGTCCTTAGTCCGAGAGTATGGATTGGACGTAATCAACTGTCATTAATCCGAGAGTATGGATTAATACATAGTCAGTTGTCCTTAGTCTGGGTGTATAGATTAAGACATAGTCAGTCGTCCTCAGTCCGGGAGTATGGATAGGAGATAGTTATTCGTCGTTAATCGGGGAGAATGGAGTTACACATAGACATTTGTCCCTAATCCGAGAGTATGGAATGGGCACAATTATTGATCCGAGAGCATGGATTAAATCCGAGAGTATGGATTAAGTAGGAGGTAAAATTTAAGCTCTGAGAGTATGGATAGTGTCATTGAGAGGATCGACGGGGTGGGGTAAGAGTTGCTTATATATATATATATATATATATATATATATATATATATATATATATATATATATACACACACACACATATATATATATATATATACATATATATATATATATATATATATATATATATATGGTGAAATTGTATATTTTGTGAGTTCTAAATTATATATATGATATAACATTGTAGGATTGGAATCCCTATGTGCTCACCAAGTTTCCCAACCTGACCCACCCAGTTTATTTATCTCATTGGTGTTGATATGAAGTCACATTACATTGCGAGGTTAAGGAGATATAAATCACTAGTGATAATGAATGTAAGTTATGTTTATGCTTATGTTTCTGTATTGACAATGACATCCCAAATGGTTTAAAATGAATAAAAATACTTTTCTTCGGAAATGCCTTGATAACGTATTTATCGTGTTTTACTAGGAACAAATTCCGCAACTTTTTTATTAAAAGAGGTACTCTGATTTTTTATAAAGCATGAACAAAATCGGTATTTTCTGGATGTGAAAATGGGGACGTCACATTGAGCCCCGCCCGGCATCGGGCTCTGCTCGACATCGAGCAAAGCTCGGTATACATATAAACATACCAACAAATACACGTAAATAATAACATAACATAAACATATAAACATTCCTCGGGCCCCGCCCGACGTCAGACCGAAATTCGGAAGCATACAAACATAACTCGGGCATTGGCCGACATCATTCCGTAATCCAGAAATGTACAATACTGGCACATGAATCACGAAGACATCAAGCATACAAACATTCCTCGGGCACCGCCCGACATCGGATCGAAATCCAGAAAACATATAAACCTACATCGGGCACTGCCCAACATCAGACCTTAGTCCAGAACATTAGGACTGTTCACTATTTGGATAAAACCGAATTGGACAATTGGACAATTTGGATCGGACTATTTAGTTCGGATATTTGGATTTTTGGATTGGTTTTTAGCAAAACCGAATTATTATTTTGAATTTCGGATTGGTTTTGGTTTATAAAATAAAAACCGAATAGTCCAAAAAACCCGAATTGCAATTTATTATTTTGTTATTCTTAATATATATCTTTAATAATTTATAAATTTACTAAATTATTCTTTTAGTATATTAAAAATTTTCATCTATTATAATACTTTAATATGTACTTCTTATAAAAAAAAATTGTCTATAAAGTAGTAAACTATAATATATTTTCTTGATAGTTATTTATAAGTTTTAGTTCACAACTAAATAAACAATATTTTTTAGTTTATATTATAGAGTTAGTTAATACTAAAGTTATACATTTGTTGAATTGTCTTGATTCTTGAAAACCGAATTGTAAAAAACCAATCCAACCGAATTATAATTTGGTTGGATCGGATCGGATTTGAATTTAGTTTGGACTATTTGGATCTACATTTTGAAAACCGAAGTTAATTTGGATTCACTTGATCGGATCGAATTAAACCGATCCATCTAAACGAACACCCCTACGAAACATAATAACTTACATATACAGGTCGGTATTGGGGCCTTCAACCTGTTCATACAGGAGGAAAACTCACCTCGCAAAGCTGAATGCAAAATCTCACAGTAAGAATTCTCTAGCGGCTGCTCTAAGGACTCCCTGCATTATCAGTACAAAATAACACTTAGTCAAAACTCAAAAATCCTTCTTAGAGTAAAATAACCATTTTAACCCTGATCTAATCAAGTCCATGACCTAGGCCCAAATCCATAACATGAAAGGCCCAATCTAGATAGCCTTTCCAAGACCACTAATAGCCCACCAATGACCCAATTTTCTAAATTGGGCCCAACTCCTCAAATGGGTCTTCCCTTAAACCCAAACATATTCTTAGCCCAAAATAACTGATTTCTGATGGCCATTATGACCCAAAATAACAAAGTCCATGGAATCGCCCAAACCGAGGCCCAGATGTCACAAAATCCAAATTCAGTGAGTACGCGGGGCGTACTCCTCTGTACGCTAAGCGTAAAGACTATATGGCTTGTACGTTGCATGTACGAGCTTGTACGCCTAGCGTACTACCCTGTTAAGTCATAATCTCTAAAAAGGGATTAACCCCTTAAGACCTTAAGCTCCAAACACATATTTGAGTCCAATAAAGTGTCTTAACCTATAAAGTCGATTACTTCGTGGCTTGCAAACCCTCAAATAGACCTAAACTGGAAATATGACAACCTACTTCCATAGAAATGACTAATACTCATGTATGACCCCATTAAGACCTTCAAGATGGTAACTTTTCTGTCTTTGGGACTCAAATAGCACTAAAGGTGGCAACCCTAAGCCTAGAAACAAATTTGGAACCATAAAAATCCATTCTTGGGACCAAAAAGGTCCAAACCCCATTACAAGAGATCTAAGCATACATGAGGCAAGTTTTGAGCTTTTTACCTTAAATGAGTGCTAGATGATGATGATGTCTCAGATCCTTGAGCTCAAGCTACACAAGTTCTTCTTCACCAACTTCCTTTTCTCCTTCCAAGCTCCAAGCCACTAAAATGGCTTCCATAAGATCAAGATCACAAAAAGATGAAGAAGGTTAGGTTTCTAGGTTTCTGGGTTAAGGAGGCTGGGGTTTTGGACATAATGATGTATATATATGACCTAAACCTTAAAAATTAGGGTTTTGAGTCAGCTCGCGTACGCTGCATGTACCCCTTGGTACATTACGCGTACACACAATCACCCCTCGTATCCAAAGTCCTCACTACACCCAGCATACGTCTTCAGTCAACCCAATTCAATAACGATCCAACTCAATAAAGGCCCAAGTCAATAATCCAACATTAATCTCATAGTCCAACAAATAAATTACAAAATTACATAATTTAGCATTACCTCAAGTTATGGATGTTACAGAAATGCAAGTTGTATTCTAAATTTTGCAATCAAGAGTTTATATATATATATATATATATATATATATATATATATATATATATATATATATATATATATATATATATATATATATATATATGAGTTTCAAACAGATGACACGATCAATGAGTTGGAAAACTTGTTTTTTGTTCATCAGACATCATTGAATATATGGGGTGCATTTCCACAAGTTTTAATGATGGATGCCACATATAAGACAAACAAGTACAACATGTCTCTTCTTGAAATTGTTGGTGTTACTTCAACAAACAACACATTTTCCATAGCTTTCGTTCTTATGGATGAAGAGAAAGACGCAAATTATACTTGGGCATTAAGTTGTCTTAGGACCACGTTGGGTGGATAGGATGGGCCATATGTGATCGTCACGGACAGAGAGTTAGCCTTATTGAATGCATGAGCAAATGTATTCCCTGCATCCAACTGGTTACTCTATAGATGGCACATATTTGAATATATAAAGAAACACTGAAAACCAACTTTAAAGTCTAAGGGTATTTGGGGATCATATAAGAAAGTATGGGTGAATCCAATTGAGTCATCAACGAGGAGATCATATTTAGAAAACTTCGCTCAACTTCAATCTATTGGAAGACTGTCATTAGACTCTTCATATATATATATATATATATATATATATATATATATATATATATATATATATACACAGAGAGAGAGAGAGAGAGAAAGCGAGGTAGGTAGGTTCAAATATGGATTAACAAATATTGTGTGGATGTAAGGATTAATATGGGCCAAGTATTATTTAATTTTAATAAATAATTAATTAAATCTTCAACCCTTTAATTTAAGCAAATTACTTTATTTAAAACCCTACTGCCTATTTCATCCACACCCACAAAATCACCTCCCGTTTCCATCAAAGATGTCAAGATTGTCGGAGGGAAGTTCTCAGGTGCGCTGTCCGCCATTCCGGTTATCGTGACTAGTCGAGATCGTCTCCGAGGTTCGAAATATCTGGAAAAAAATTGCGTCCAATAGGATTTGAACCTATAACAAAGGTTTAGAAGACCTCTGTCCTATCCATTAGACAATGGACGCTTTTCATTGCGATTTTTTAGTAGTTTTACTTTCTGATCTTTTATTTGAAAAAATATGAATCTAATATACTAATATAGTAGGATTTCTATAAGAAAATTCTTTGAATTGTATATTCAATGATGAATGATGTATTAATTAGAGTCTATTAGAGTATTTAATATAGGATGGGCCATATGTGATCGTCACGGACAGAGAGTTAGCCTTATTAAATGCATGAGCAAATGTATTCCTTGCATCCAGCTGGTTACTCTATAGATGGCACATATTTGAATATATAAAGAAACACTGAAAACCAACTTTAAAGTCTAAGGGTATTTAGGGATCATATAAGAAAGTATGGATGAATCCAATTGAGTCATCAATGAGGAGATCATATTTAGAAAACTTCTCTCAACTTCAATCTATTGGAAGACTGTCATTAGACTCTTCATATATATATATATATATATATATATATATATATATATATATATATATATATATATATATATATATATATATATATATATATATATATATATATATATATAGAGAGAGAGAGAGAGAGAGAGAGAAAGAGAGGTAGGTAGGTTCAAATATGGATTAACAAATATTGTGTGGATGTAAGGATTAATATGGGCCAAGTATTATTTAATTTTAATAAATAATTAATTAAATCTTCAACCCTTTAATTTAAGCAAATTACTTTATTTAAAACCCTACTGCCTATTTCATCCACACCCACAAAATCGCCTCCCGTTTCCATCAAAGATGTCAAGATCATCGGAGGGAAGTTCTCGGGTGCGCTGTCCGCCATTCCGGTTATCGTGACTAGTCGAGATCGTCTCCGAGGTTCGAAGAGGTTGAAGAGACAGAGGGAAGACGGGAGGTCGTCGTCTCTGGCGTCGGAGAGGCCAAAAGGGAAAAGCAGCACAGGGTCTGCTCCGACAATCAAATGTGAAGAAAAAGGAGAAGGCTGATCCGAGAGGGTCAAGGCAAGCAACAACAACACACGATCTGGGGAGATGCAAAGGAGGCTGCTGCCCTCCTGACCACTGTGTGCTTCATCGATTCAACCGACCCAATTCTCTTAGCCATCATCAATTTCTCCCAGGTAAGTTCTCGATTCCACAAAATCGGTATGTTGTTCGATCCCTCAATCTAAATCTGCGTTTTTTTAATTTTATTTTTTTGTCAATTCAATTTATCAAAGTTTTCTTCCTGCAATTCTAGATTCGTTTTACCTGTGAGTATTTTGGTTAACAGTATGCTTAATTGATCATTTCATAATTTGCTTTACATGTTATTCTATAATGAGGCAACAAGTTGTATGTATTTATATTCTTGAACTTCATTTTTTTATGTGTTTTTTTTTTCAAGACCACTCGGAATGTAGCAAAGTTATTTGGAACACCAATGGTGGCTGGAAATTAAGAGACAATTTCATGACAATTGATATTCACCACACCAAAATGTCAAAATATAATAGCATGAAACAAGAATGAGAATGAAGATTCTTTGATGAATTGTATTCATGTAGGATGAAAATTGTTTTCAAGAATGACTTACTATAAAGCTTGTATTCTTATAGATTGTGGCAAAAATACAAAAAATGACATTGTATTTTTATAGAATGTGATAGTTATTAGACCAGATCCAAGCTCTGCTTAATGATGCTTCTCAGAAGGAAGAAACTAATGAATCTGTTAGAAGATGGCTGAATGCTCTCCAATATTTGGCTTACGACATAGACGATGTTCTTGATGATCTGGCAACCGAAGATATAGAACTTAAGTTGACTGAGAAATCTGGATCCACCATCAGCAAGGTAAGAAAGCTAATCCCAACTTGTTGCACAAATTTTTCATTAAGTTCTAGGATGCATGGAAAATTAGATGGTATTTCCACCAAGTTACAAGAATTAGTAGAGGCAAAAAATAATCTTAGTTTAAGTATGTTAACAAATGAAATGCCAAAAGTTAAAAGATACGAGGCGAGTTTGGTGATAAGAAGGCATTGGTTCAAAAATTGTTGGGGGCTAAAGATGAATCGTCTAATCAAAACATTAGCATCGTGCCCATAGTTGGTATGGGTGGGGTTGGTAAAACAACTTTAGCTCGACTTTTGTATGATGAAAAGGAAGTGAAGGATCACTTCTAAGTCAGGGCTTGGGTTTGTGTTTATGATGAATTTGATATTTCTAATATAAGCAAAGTGATTTATCAATCTGTGACCGGGGAAACCAAAGAATTCACAGATTTAAATTTTCTTCAAGAAGCTCTTAAAGAGAAACTTAAGAACAAACTATTTCTAATAGTATTAGATGATGTATGGTCTGAAAGTTATGATGTCTGGGATAAGTTAGTGTGCCCATTTCTTGTGAGGGATCCTGGAAGTAGAAGTATCATGACAACTCGGAAGGAACAGTTGCTTAGAAAATTGGGTTACACACATATAGACCCACTGCCGAGTCTTTCACATGATGATGCTATGTGTGTATTTTCTCAACATGCATTAGGTGTAGATAACTTTGATTCACATCCAACACTTAAACCACATGGTGAAGGGTTTGTGAAAAAATGTGATGGCTTGCCCTTAGCTTTAAGATCACTTGGAAGTTGGAAGGTTACTAAGGACAAAAACAGATGAGGAAGAATGGAAGGTTCTGTTAGATAGTGAGATTTGGAGGTTAGGAAATGGAGATGAGATTATTAAGGCTCTTAGACTAAGCTACAATGATCTTTCTGCATCTTTGAAGCAGTTGTTTGGATATTGTTCCTTGTTTCCCAATGACTATTTGTTCGACAAGGAGGAGTTGATTATGTTGTGGATGGCAGAAGGGATTTCGCACCACTCTAGTACAAGCAAATCATTGTTTGTGATGCATGACCTCATGAATGACTTGCCGAGATTTTTTAGCATGACTTCAATATTAACGGATTTTTTATTAAATAGGTCCATTTTCACACCTTTAATTATTTAAATATGATTCCATATATTTTTGAAACTGTGACGAACTTTATCTTTGGGTGCACATTTGTCAAATTACATTTCGATGATATTTTATTTAAATTTATGGCTTAATAATTGAATTCTAATGTATTTTTCTCACTCCTATATACTTACAGCCAAGCAATAAAAGATCAAAGGTCAGTGGATGTAATGAAGTTTGAAATAAAAGCATCAGAGAAGAGAAAATATCAAAGGAAGACATTTATATATGGTGATGCTTCTAATTTACAAGGTTTGCTTCCATCTGACTGATAAACCCTTATGCGATCTGAAGCATGACTGATAAACCCTTATGCGATCTGAAGCAAGCCCTTATGGACAGTGATTTCCAAAATGCAGTTAATTTATTCTTGTTCTAAATTTGTATAAAATGGAATCTTGATATATAGGCGAATTACTTACTTTCCAACAATCGTCCATGGAAATTAAGTGCAAAACTCCTGCTGATGATCATAGCTGTGAAGCTTTAATGCTTTTTATATGCCAGCATCTTTTCAATCATTCAAACTACGCTCAATCTCTTCAAAACCTTGATGTTGTAATCTTGTTTTCCCTTTACATAACTTTGTAAGGGTATAGATTTATCTCATTGTCAAATTGATTAACTAATTTCTTAAGTTAAACTCGGGAAAATGTCACTTTAGCCCTATATTAACTCTTGGGTTTTATTTTAAAAAGTCCCTTATCTTTTTTTTAGTAATCTAAGGGCTTATAGTCCAATTTCAGGTGTATAAAAGCCTAGATTATATTAACACTACATTTTTTTGTGTAGAAAGACTATTTTTGATGCTTAATAATTAGTCATATCATTATGTTTTGAAGTTTGATAAATTCATAAAATAACAAGAAACTTTGTTTCAGCTTTGAATACTAATTAAAATTAGAGAGTCATTGAACATATAACAATGCAAAATGCATATAATTTATTAAAAAAAAAAAAAAAGAGCTACATAAGCATATGTATAGCTTTAGATGCTAAATTACAAGCAATCATGGTGCCTTACTGCCTTTAGGCTCACCTTTAAAGTTTTAACTAAAATCTAGCATACCAAAAGTCTTGAACAAAACGTATTTGCATGTGACATCCATTCTTTATAATCTTTTAACTTCAATAATACTCCAATAGTATTTATCATGAGCAACTTTCAAGGCCACTTCAAAACATGAAAACTATTCGAAAAAAAAAATGACAGCTGTGGGATTTGAACCCACGCCCTTTCGGACCAGAGCCTAAATCTGGCGCCTTAGACCACTCGGCCAAACTGTCCAACTGATAATTACGTTTAGATTAAGCTTTAATTGTGCTATAATAAAATAGAATAAACTTTGAAACCACATAATGCAACTTGAACTAAAAGAGCTGTTGGACACAAATTATGAAGGGAAAATGACTTATTTAGGTAACTAACTATTTCAATTGTCCATATATAGGTAATGTTCTTTTTTTTGTACACATTAAGGTAACTAACTTGTTTTGTTTGTTCACATTTAGGTAATATGACCGGCTATCACCTGTTTTTGCTTATGTGGCATCCACCTGGCATTACGTTGCACCTACGTGGCATGGTGCATATATGGGAAAATGACTTATTAAGGTAACTAACTATTTCAATTGTCCATATATAGGTAATGTTCTTTTTTTTTGTACACATTAAGGTAACTAACTTGTTTTGTTTGTTCACATTTAGGTAATATGACTGGCTATCACATGTTTTTGCTTATGTGGCATCCACCTGACATATGACTTGAATACGTTGCACCTACATGTCATGGTGCATATTTTGTCTTCATTCAATTACACTATAACTGTGTCATACGATTCCACCCCTAATTCTAAACCCTAGATCGATCGATGATGGCTTCTTCTTCCTCATCTTATTCTTCAAAATGACAAGATGAATTTCAAGCTGATCATCGATTGCGGTTTACCATCTCGTGTGAAGATTTCAAGAACTCCTGCAACATATTCAACAATATTGATTTACCATCGAGTTTTGACAAACTCTAAATTTTCTTCCATGGTTGTCAGGAGTTCTTGAAATCTTCACACGAGATGGTAAGCCGCAATCACATGGATGATCAGCTTGAAATTCATCTTGTTGTTTTGAAGAATAAGATGAGGAAGAAGAAACAAAACAAGTCATATGTCAGGTGGATGTCACGTAGGTGTAACGTATTCAAGTCATATGCCAGGTGGATGCCACATAAGCAAAAACATGTGATAGTCGGTCATATTACCTAAATGTGAACAAACAAAACAAGTTAGTTACCTTAATGTGTATAAAAAAAAGAACATTACCTATATATGGACAATTGAAATAGTTAGTTACCTTAATAAGTCATTTTCCCATATATGCACCATGCCACGTAGGTGCAACGTAATGCCAGGTGGATGTCACATAAGCAAAAACAGGTGATAGCCGGTCATATTACCTAAATGTGAACAAACAAAACAAGTTAGTTACCTTAATGTGTACAAAAAAAAGAACATTACCTATATATGAACAATTGAAATAGTTAGTTACCTTAATAAGTCATTTTCCCAATTATGAATCTAAATACAAGCCGACCTAATAGGGGGGAAAGCTGGATGACGGCCCTAGGCCTCATAACAGTTTTGGGGCCCCAAATTTAATTTGGCTTCCCCCCCTTAATTTTTATAACATAAACGTAGAAAAATTATCTTCTTCCCGTTCTTGAATGAAAAATTATCATTTTGTGTTATTTGCCTTTGTGTTTTGATTAGTTTTTTTGATGTCAAACTATTAATAGTGTTTTTTCTAATGTTGAACCAAATTTATCCCAATTAAGCAATAACATAAAGGTAATAAAATATCTCTCGATCTTTTTTCTAATGTTCTTTTAGATTTTTCATTTTGTAATAATCAAATAAATAGCATTCAAAGTGTCACTCATCTTGTGAAATGATTTTGGTGTTGATGTTGAAGGTAGGTTGATAACCATGAATGAAGTTGTGAGATTGCTCCTTCAATCAACTATTGAAAATCCAACAAATCAAAATTTTATTCTTTTATTAGATAGACAAGTAAATGACAATTGTTATAAAAAAAAATCAGAGTAAATTACCAATTTACCCTTTTGGAATAATAAGTTATTAAAGTCAAACCTTTATTTATTATCCGTATTAAGGGCATATAAGTAATTTTATCAAACATATTAGTTGATCTTCGGGGCCTTTGGTTTATGTTCTCATGTTTAATTTGCTTTACACAACATTTTCTCATCGGCATGTTGATCTTCTTCGAGTATCAAGGGGACGGATGATAAATGGAAGTACCTAGATCTGACAGGTAAGTTAAAATGATTTTCTTATTTTCTTCTTTTTTGCACTTCAATTGATGTATTCTCAACATTATGATATTTTGACTTTGATTTTTTAAGGATTCAGTTTCTTGGTCTCTTCACTTTCAATGATTAAATGACACGTGTGAAAAATTATTATGTTGATTCTTCAATGGTGGGATATTTCTTTTGATCTCTTCATATTCTCACTAGATAAACACAAGGAAGAATTTGCATCCCTACAAGATACTTTATAGGTTTTGGAACATAAGGGCATTTTAGTCCATTACTACGATTAAATATGGTGTAAGTGCATCTACACCAATTTTTTCTTTAAAACTCCTTTCGATACAAAAGAATTGGTGTATTTGTTAATTTGTGTATATATGTGGAATTATGGAAAAGGTGATGATTACTTATGTACTTGAAGTGTAAAACCTAATATTTGCCTCCTATTTATTTATTTATCATTTGAAGGTGGTTTGCAGAATATGCTTTGAATCTTATTTCTTTGATTATCAGTTTCATCTCTAAAGTACCTAAGCTAACAAATGGCTTTATTTTTTTATGAAATAAATTTTGGATTTTGTGTTAAGATAGAACAAACATAAAATAGAGAAAAGGATCATGGTTGACATGTTTATTTGTAATGTTACTCCCTAAGTTATCTTTTGGGACAATCCTATAGTATTTTAGGTTATAAAGTGGGTGATTGAAGATAATATATTATTTAAAATCAACTGGAATTTTAGAAGTTATTCATATGATTTCATCCATGCATTTATCTGACATTGCACTTTATCTTGTTTTTTTTTTAATTTATAGCAATGTACATTTGATAATATATCCAATCATATCATTCTACCATTGAGTTTATTTCTTATTATCTTGTTATACTTATGAAAATTTTACATAGTTTAGCTAATACTACTTACATTTTTTCATAATACAATTTTTTTACTGGAATCATTATATTCATTTTTGCATTTTTTTTCATAATACAATTTTTTTACTGGAATCATTATATTCATTTAGGATCATTATATTGTGGATGGTTTACAAATAAATTAGTTAACTTAGTTATTATATCATAACATAATTTGATCTTTAAATGGATGGTCTCTACAGTAAAATGATCAAATCATTAATTAATATCAGTTTGCTTTTGGTCTATTGACAATTTGGTTGTTAAAAAAGTAATGATACTTTCAAATTATACTTATATTTTGTTGAATGTTGATGTTCATAAATTTAAATTTAAATACATAAACAAATAAAATATGATTTTATTTTGTATGCAAAAGAATGTAAATTTTATAGTCTTTATGTAATTTTATTTTAAATAATCAATATAATTACATAAACCTAGTGTGTTTATATATATAAAAGAGTTGGCTAAATAACTCATTATTTTACCATTTAGACACAAGAAGTACTAACTACCTTTATACTATCCGGTTATAACATTTTTCTCTTTCTGATTTTCTCACTATGAAGGGACGTGAGTTTGATTCCTTTCTCAGTAGTCTTTGTCTTTGTATGCACAACAAAAAGTTTTATTCCTATATAATATGCAGTTTTATATATTTGTCATCACTCATAGATATCATTTACGTCCAAAATCTCACTTTCCACTATTATTTTTAATAGGGATAATGACTTGAAAGGGTAACGAACTTTCGATTTTTGTCACATTTAGTCACTAAACTTTTTTTCGTTATCTATTTGCCACTAAACTATTGAAACTGTTCACATTTTACCCTTATGACCGGTAACAGCCGGTCATAAGGGTAAAATGTGAATAGTTTCAATAGTTTAGTGGCAAATAGATAATGAAAAAAAGTTTAGTGACTAAATGTGAACAAAATCGAAAGTTCGTTTCCCTCTAAAAAGTTCAATAACTAAATGTGAACAAACTTCCTATTGTATTATGTTTTAGCAAAATTATTTATTTTTGTTTAATTGTAGCAACATTTGTTGATGAAGAAATCTATGAAATAAAAATACAAAATGTAACATCTGAATTTCCATGTATCATCATTTAAGTATTTTTCTTTTGAGTTAAGAAGAGAGACTCGACGAGTTGACGCCTCAACTCGTCGAGTAAGGTCGCGACTGGTGATTCAGATTAATGAATGGACTCAACGAGTCGGTGAGGCGACTCGACGAGTCCGCACTGTTGGCAGAAACCCTAAATCTTTGGGCTCGAGCTATATTTAAAGGCACTTATAGCCTTCAATTGCGACTAACTTTCCCATAAGTGCGAACCCTAGCGAGCTTGAGTGTGTAGAGTGAGAGGAAGAGCTATCTTGAGCTTTTTGGTGTGATAGATCTGGACCCTTCTAGGTTCAGAGAGCCGAGAATATGAAGCTTTAGTAGAGTAAACCTTGGGGTTCAAAGTTAGGAAGCATTTATGGTATATATAGAGTTACTTTCATCTTACACATAGATATGAAGTATTTTATATAAATTACGTACTATGTGTGCATATTATTTGAATACTTGTTGTCTATGCTGGATGAACGATTTTATACATGTTTTAAAAGATTTAAACAGTATATTTATTTTATATCTACAAATATGTTGCGGATGAAACATGGGTAGATGAAATAGTTGATGTGTGATGAAATAAAATGATGAGAGATAGGTAATGATAGAAAGGTGGTGATAATTAGGTAAATAGATGATGATGAATATGTGATGTAGGATGAAAGGAGATACCATAACCTTAACCAGCAATGTGGCGATGTAGTCATCTACCAGAGTATAGATGGCGACCACGGACTATTCTAGACAACCCAGTGGAAACACCAGCAAGCCCATAACCTATAGGTGATGAATTACGAGTTCAGGCGATGTTGTAACTACGTATTCATGTGATGATACTCTAACTCCTTACTATGAATTACGAGTTCTGACGATGTTGTAACTACATATTCATGGGATGTCACAAATTTCGCATGCCAAACCAATGGTTATAATTCACATCAGTGAGAATGGTTCATTTTTTTGTAAAACCAAAATCAGATTGGAGATTTTGATTTTTTATTTTAGGAAATGTCAAACCATTGGTTTTTTGTTTTTTTTTAAATATATTTTCAGGGATTTGTTTTTTTTTTTTTTTTTTCATAGATTTCTTCATCAACAAATGTTGTTACAATTTAACAAAAATAAATAACTTGCTAAAACATAATACAAGAGAAGGTTTGTTCACATTTAGTCATTGAACTTTTTAGAGGGAAACGAACTTTCGATTTTGTTCATATTTAGTCACTAAACTTGTTTTCGTTATCTATTTGCCATTAAACTATTGAAATTGTTCACATTTTACCCTTATGACCGACAACAGCCGGTCATAAGGGTAAAATGTGAACAGTTTCAATAGTTCAATGGCAAATAGATAACGAAAAAAAGTTTAGTGACTAAATGTGACAAAAGTCGAAAGTTCGTTACCCTTTCAAGTCATTATCCCTTTTTAATATTAATGATGTTTTTTTTTGTTAAACCATATTATACTTTAACTGTAACATTATTCTATTATTAATAATATTTGTTAGAAACCGATCTTTCCACCAAATAATAATAATAATAACAACAACAACAACAACAACAACAACGCTTCCAAACCCTTGGTCGCTGTCGCTTGTCGGCTTATTTTCCGATCACCGTTGCTAGAGAGTGGTTGTTTGTTCTTGAATTTAATATAGAAGCGAGATGGAGACCCTCATAATGAGTGGGCTCGGAATTGAGTTTCGAATGACAAAACAGGGAACAATCTTCGAACCAAGGGAGCAACCATATGATATTACTTGGAAGAATTACTTTGTAAGTCTTAATGTTTCTTCCTTTTATGTTAAGAATTTTCACGATTCTATTATTCCGAATGATTTGTGGCATGCATGTGATTGTCTTGGAAAAGATGTGGATTTTTTATTGATAAAAAGAGGTCTCGAATTGGGTAAAGATTTTGATTTATTAGATTTACGGGTGTTTGCAATGTTGATCATATGGTTAAACAATTGTGTGATGTTTGGTTTTGGTATCACAAGCTCTTTGCTTCTATTCCAAGATTTTTGAAATTGGATACTTCTTTTTCAAAACAACACATGGTTTCTTCTAAAGTTGTGAAGATCAAACCGAGATGTCATTGAGCTCTTAAGCATCAAACAACTTTTGGGTTTAAGTTCTTGAGTTCTTCATCGAAACACATCATGTGCGTGTTCACCAAAAAAGTTCATGTTTTGCCATAAAAATTACGTTTGGCCAGTTGAACCTACAATAATCGACTATAATGATATTCTTTTAAACAAGTTCAATGGTAAGCCGTGTACAAAAAAAAAACTATAGTGACTAAGGTGGCGTTTGTTTGTTTGTTTTTTTGACAAAAAGATCTTTTTAACCTTTTAAGTGTGTGGGCGGAAAAACATTTAAAGAAATTAGTGTTGATTAAGAAGACAAAAGATATAAAAAAGTTTTTTGATATCTTTTTCCCGAAGATAAAAAATAATGTCTTATTTTGAAAGAGGTTTTCTAAGTTCTAACACTAATGTAATATTTTTTACTACTACCACTAATGCCACCACTGTTGTTGCAACTACCGTCGCCTCCATGGCCACAATTGTCGTTGTCGTCACCACCACTATTGTCGTCGCCGCTACTGTCAATGTCGTCTTTACTGCCACCACCACCTTCGCCATCACCACTACCTCCGTCTCTGCCACCACTTCACCCCCAATCTTAACTTTGCCACCACACCATCACCACCCCGCCACCTCTTTAAAAACAAACACCGTCTAAATGTTTATACATAACATAATTTGTTATCCTTGCAAAATATTAATTTAATGTTTATAAAATATATTGTATTTGTTTTTTGGTATGTTTCACAACTTTGTTTCCTTAATATTTTATTCATTAATCTATTATGTTTAAATTTCAAAACTTTATTATTTTTTATAAAATAATGTAGAGAAAATGACTTAGGAGGATAACTATCTGTTCACATGTTGGCAACATCTTTTTTTGTATACATAAAGCTAACTAACTTGTTTTACGTGTTCAATTTATATCAATATTACCGACTAACACCTCTTTTTTAAACTGGTTGGCTCAAACTAACTCACTTAAAAGAAATTATGTGGCATCTTACGTGCTCATTACACCCTTTTGTCCAACATCGACTTCATTTAATTAGGTCCCTCACAATTACTCCCAGATCTTTCCGGATTAATTATGGTTTCTCAGAAATCAATCGATCGAAGCAATAGGAGCTCATTGTTTGGAATTGAAGCTGGGACTTGAAATCGTAGACTGTAACATGTCAGAATCATCTAACAGTACGTACCTTACAATAGATTTCACTATAATGGAATGTTTGCACCAAACCTGTTAGTGTACTTAGACCCTATAAGAATTTCGGTTTCTGATGTGGATTTTGGTGCCATGAACTATCGAGAATTTGTGTTGTGGATTACAAAGCTGACTAGAGGAAGGTGTGGAAATTTGTGCTATTATAGTAGAAATGAAACATTGGTGAAGGTATTAGAAGAATCGACAATGATGCTAATTATTTTGAGTTTATTGAAGATGGTTACATGCCTAAGAACGAGCTAAGAATGAATGTCTACATTGACAACCAAAATGAACCTATTCTTGACTGACCCGATAAAGAGGTGTTAACAGGTGATGAGGTGTATGATTTGGTAGAAGATGATGATACGGACTCACACATTTCAGATATAATGGAATGCGAGCATGTACCTAATGAAGAGGTGCATACTTTTGACAAAACAATTGATGATGAATTTTTGAACAAGTTTCCAGGTAAAACCATTCCTAATAGTAATGAAGAAGAAGTAAATGATGATGATGAAGCGAGTAATGAAGATGATGAGGTTGTGTTCCCTGTCTTTGATGAGAATCAAGCATGGGATAAATGGCACAATTTTTGTTATGAATTTTTCCAACCCAATGGAATTTAAGCTATATCTAACCAACTATGTCTTCAAGAATGAGTATGATTTATGGTATGAAAAAAATGATCATCAAATGTTGTTGGAAAATGTTGTAAACGTAAGAAGAATAAGAAGAATAAGACTTGTCCTTTTAGGTTGTGGACATTCTGGATGAAAAATGAGAGGCCTTTTCAGATTACGTCCTTAATTGATAGGCATAATTGCTCAAGAGTATTCAAATTTGGGTCCATTGTAACCTACAAATGGATTGGAACTAATTTCATGAATGAGATATTATAGAAACCAAAGATGAGTATAAGGAATTGAAAGCTAAGGTCAATAAAAGGTTTAACCTGATAGCAAGTGTTGGACAATGCATAAACACTAAGAAATATGCATTTCAGCTAATAAAAGGTACTTTAATAGAGCATTATGCCAAAACATGGAGCTATGGAGAAGAGCTAAAAATAACAAATCCTGGATCAAGTTAATATGGAGGTAGATGTAATGCCTGTTGAAGAAACATACTTCTCAAAGTTTTATGTGCGTTTAAAGGGTTTGAAGGATTTTGGAGGGCTGTAGGAGGGTAATTGGAGTAGATGGTTGTTTCTTACAGGGATGATGCAGAGGTTAGTTGCTTGCAGCTATTGGGAGGGATTCAACAACCACATATATCCTGTTACATGGGTTGTGGTTGCAGTGGAAAATAAAGATGATAGGTTTTAGGCATAACAAAAAAACAAACTTAAAACTCGTAAGTGTGCATGCAACCTAAAACAAGATCTATGTTTTCACTATTGAACCCATAACTATTAACATCAAAATAAGAACCCTAGGTAATTTTTGAAATTACTAAAGAAAAGGTTTAGGGTTACATATCTGTTAGTTGTTATAGTAAATAACTAGAAATCCTCTTGATGATCTTTTAGAAGCAAGCACCACAAACATCATGCCTCTAATGGAATCACACCTAAGCTAGCAAGAGGAATACTATAGAGAGAGGAGAAGAGAGCCAAGATTTCGTCCAAGGCTTGTATAAGAATGGATAGACGAAATCAAGGGCTAGGGAGGCCTTTATATAGCCGAGGAATCTTGTGGCCAAAGCTAGGGTTTAAGGGATAAGCCCTAGATTCCCTTGCTTGATGACCAAGCAGCCCAATCCCTTATCTCAAAGGGCCTTAGACGAAAATCCCTAGAAGTTTTCATCTACCTCTTCTAATGAAGTTCTAGAACCTTCCTTCCTCAACTTTCACTAAATAACCAAACAATCCTTGCACTTTTAATTAACCCAATTAATTCCAATTAATTATTAATTACATTACACGATTTCTAATTAATATATTATTTTCATAATACATTAATAAACCATTTATTTAATTTATTATTCACATAATAAATTAATCTCTCTCTAAAAGTCATCCTGTCCAACTGCTATGTTTGAGGGTAACCCAAAAAGGATTGTGTTACTACCAATTCAAGTATATAACAATTTTAGTTATGGACTTAGACACCTAATCCAACAGTGTACCACTTGGATAAGTCTATAACTATAATTATCAGTATAACTTTTGAATCGATCAGCAAATTGTAGCTTCCAAAATCCATTGTCGAACTCTGACCCAATCCGTTATGTGTCCTAAGATAAGTGATCATATAATCCTCCGTTCTACAAGATATCATTCGGACATGAGACATGGAACATAATCAATCGCATTGTCTAATAATTTGTTTCCTGATTTCTAATTTGTAATAACATAGAACTTCTAATTGAACACATCAATTTAATCTTGGTTGTGTCCGACACTATAAGTCAACATCAAATCATCGAGGGGCCCAAAGATATTGCTTTTTCCTGTTAAGGTAAAAGGAATGAATAAACTTTGATTTATATGCTTACACCATTTACTCATCAAATCAATCACAACAACACGTTTTATAACATCAAGTTACTGATATGTTTACGTACCATCAACGCACAACTAACATGCACACCACAACTCATATATCTTTGTTTAAAGATTATAGGATATTATCGTCTTAGAATTACTCGTTATAAATTCTATGAAGTGGTTCTCTAAGTGTGGGTTAATCCAATACTTAAATCTCCATTTCTAAGTACTCATGAACATTGTAGCAATAGTGTTGCTATTTCAAAAAATCTTTAGACAATCTAAAATTCAGTTCATGATAGTAGCTTAATTTACTACTTACTTTCAAAAGTACGAACGACTGTGGAATTTGAATAATCTAATTATTCGGGAAGTAAAACAAGCAAAATGAAACACAATAATAAACAATTGAAAAAACGTAGAAAACAAACTCATAAAAATTCTCTATTATTTAATCACCAAAAGTCAACTACACTTACTTTGTTACAAGTTTCAAACTAACTATCTAACTAATAAAACTAATATCATCTCTCAAACCAATGCTCCTAGCATGTTGAATATGTTTAATCCTACTCATACCCTTTGTGAGTAGATCTGCGATTCTCTTTAGATGATACCCTCTTCACTACGAGGTGACCTTCTTCTACCTTATGTCTAATGAAATGGTATTTTATGTTGATATGTCTTGATCTCCCATGATCTCTTGGTTTCTTTGTCAAGGAAACCGCTCCTTCATTATCATAGAAACTTTCCATTGGCTCCTTGATGGCTGGCACAACTCCAAGATCTTTGATGATGTTTTTCAACCAAATTGTCTCCTTTGATGCTTCTCTTGCCACTATGTACTCTGATTCACAGGTAGAATCAGTCACCGTCTCTTGCTTAGAACTTATCCAAGTAACTACTCCTCTATTTAAGGTAAACACCCAGCCAGATTAAGAATGAAAGTTATCTCTGTCTATTTGAAAGTTGGTGTCACTATACCCAGTTACTCGCATTGTATCACCACCACCAAGTACTAGGACCCAGTCCTTAGTCCTTCGCAGATACTTGAAATATTTTTAGCTACTATCTAGTGAGCTTTACCTGGACTTCCTTGATAATTATTGACCATGCTCAAAGCAAATGATACATTAGGGTAAGTACATGTCATATCATACATGATAGATCCAATGGAGGAAGCATATGAAATCCGACTCATTTCTGCTATCTCTGCATCAGTACTCAGACTCTAAGTCTTACTCGGTTTGGTATTACTCTAGATAGCCAGTTTTCCTTCCATGGAATTCTCCATACTAAAACGCTTTAGCTCCTTTTCCAAGTATGTACTTTGACTAAGTCCAGTTAGTCTTTTACTTCTGTCTCTAAGAATTCTTATCCCTAGAATATAAGCAGCCTGTCCCAGATCGTTCATAGTGAAACACTTTCCAAGCCAAGACTTAAACTCTTGAAAAGTTGGAATGTTGCTTCCTATAAGAAGTATGTCATCAACATACAATACTAGGAAGGCTAGTATACTCCCACTAGCTTTGACATATACACATGACTCATATTCACTTCTAGATTAACCAAACTCCTTCACTTTCTCATCGAAGCAAAGATTCCATCTGTGAGACGCTTGTTTTAATCCATAAATGGATTTCTCAAGCTTGTACACTATATTGGAAAATTTTGCATCAACAAAACCCTCTAGCTGATTCATGTAAACATCCTCAGCCAACTTCCCATTAAGGAAAGCAGTTTTGACATCCATCTGTCAAATTTCACAGTCATGGAATGTAGCTATGGCGAGAAATATCCTAATAGATTTTATCTTAGTTGCTGGTGAGAAGGTCTCATCATAGTCAACCCATAAGGTTTAAGTAAATCCCTTTGCAACCAGTCGAGCCTTGAAAGTGTGTACTTTTCCATCCATGTCGGTCTTCTTCTTGAATATCCATTTTTCACCCAATTGTCTTACAACCTGGTACATTATCAACCAAATTCCAAACTTGGTTTTCATACATCGACTTGATCTCACTGTCCATTGCCTCTTTCCATTTGGTTGCCTCAGGACCTACATTTCTTTCTTGTATTTAGCAGGTTGATTCAAATTTACCAATGTACTATCACTGATAAACGTATCACCATATATAATAATATGGAAACCAGAGAACTCAGGTGGCATTCTAACTCTACGAGAACACCTAAGAGGTAATGAATCGTCAACTGGTTCAACTGGAATCTCTTCCTCTGGTTGAACCCTAGCATCTTTAGAGGTTCCTTCATCATTTGATTCTTGAATCTCTTCAAGATCAATGGTACTCCCATTGTCCTCTTTACATATGAGCTCTTTCTCGTGAAAGACTACTCTTCGTACTACAAAGACTGCATTCTCACAAGGTCTGTAGAACAAATATCTATAGGACTTTTATGGGTAGCCGATGAAAATACATCTTTCACTTCGAGGTTCAAGCTTGTCGTGAGTCACTCGTCTAATGAAAGCTTCACAACCCCAAACCTTGATATGTGCTAACGAGGAAACCTTCCATGTCCACATCTCATGAGGTGTTTTGGAAACCTTCTTAGTTGGGACAAGATTAAGAATGTGGGAGGCAGTCTCTAAGGCATCACCCCATAACAAAATTGGAAGAGAAGCTTGACTCATCATGGAAAGAACCATGTCTAACAAGGTTCAATTGCGCCTTTCGATTGCGCCTATCAGCCACACCATTAATTTGTAGTGTCCTAGGAGGTATCAATTGTGAAACTATTTCATATTCCTTGAGGTAGTCATGGAACTCGATACTAAGATACTCCCCGCCTCTATTTGGTCGGAGCATCTTTATCTTCCTGCCTAATTGATTCTCGACTTCATGTTTAAACTCTTTGAACCTTTCAAAGGTTTCTAATTTATTCTTGATTTAGTAGATATAACCATATTTTCTTTAATCATCAATAATAGCCACATAGAATCGATTAGCATCCCTTGTGGATGATCTGAAGGGTCCACACACATCTATGTGTATGAGATCCAACAAACCTTCACCTCTTTCACAAGATCCAGTGAAAAGTGATATTTTCATCTTACCCAAAAGACAAGATTGGCATGTATCGTATGACCTTAGGTCAAATGATTCCAACACACCATGCTTTTGG